TTGATTATTTATCTTCTTTTTTTTTTTTTTTTTTAATTTAGTTTGTTTCTCCATGGTTAGCTTTCCCCCCGCCCTCTGTCTTTATAGAGGCACTTCCCACTGATGGTTTTGGTTATTGTTTTTCATTTCTTCCTCGTGTAGAGTTTTGCTCAAGATGCTTTGCAATGCTGGTTTTCTGGCTGCAAATTCTTTTAGCTTTTGTTTATCATGAAAGATTTTTATTTCGTTATCGTACCTGAAGCTTAATTTTGCTGGATACAGAATTCTTGGTTGGCATCCATTGTCTTTCAGTGTTTGAAATACGTTGTTCCAGGATCTTCTCGCTTTCAGCGTCTGTGATGAAAAATCCGTTGTTAACCTTATTGGTTTACCCCTGAATGTAATCTGCCTCCTTTCTCTTGTAGCTTTTAGTATTTTCTCTTTGTTCTGTATATTGGATATCTTCATAACAATGTGTCTTGGCGTTGGTCTACTGTGATTTTGTGTGCTCGGTGTCCTGTATGCATCTACAATTTGTATATCCGTTTCCTTTTTTATTTCTGGAAAGTTTTCTGTAATTATTTCTTTCAGCAGGTTACTCATTCCCTTGGTTTGAATCTCTGTACCTTCTTCTATCCCGATGACTCGTAGGTTTGGTTTCTTTATGTTATCCCATATCTCTTGGATGTTTTTCTCGTGGTTTTTAACCAGCCTTTCTGAGTTGGCTAGGCTCTTTTCAAGATGATATATTTTGTCTTCATTATCTGATGTTCTGGCTTCTACTTGCTCCACTCTGTTAGTGATACTCTCAATTGAGTTTTTAATTTGGTTTATCGTTTCCTTCATTTCTAGAATTATTGTTTGGTTTTTTTTTATAATCTCAATCTCCTGATAAAGATGCTTAACTTCTTCTTTTATCTGTCTATGTAATTCATTTTCAAAGTGTTCTTTCACTGTTTGGATTTGCTGTCTCGTATCTTCTTTAAGGTTCCATTCCATCTGTCTAAGGTATTCCTTGAGTTCTTTATATGACCATTTTTCTGCTGACTCTAGGTCCTCCTGAATATTTAGGCTGTCCTTCATTGTTTGTACTCCTTTTCTTCCTTGCTTTTTTATGCTGCTCATGTTACTTCTTGTTCTGTTTGACTGCTGAGTTACTGTTTACTCTTATAGATTTATTTGATGCTTGGGAGGAAAGATATTAGAAGGGAAGGGAAGAAGTCACTAAAGAGAATGAGAGTAGGCAGGTAGAATTCAAGGAAGGGGGAATAAGAAGATTGAAAAGAAATGAAAAGACAAAAGAAACAAGAATAACAAAGATTAGATAATAAAGAAAGAAAGAAAAGACGGAAAAAAAAAATTTTAACAAAAATAATAGTGATAATAAAAAATGAAAATTAAAATTAAAAAAAATAATAATAATAAAATAAAAAAAAATTAAAAAAAATAGAAACATTGAAAAAAAATTAAAGAACAACAACAAATAAAAATTGAAAATGAAAGAAAAAGAAGAAAGAAAAAAAAAAGAAAAAGAAAAGAAAAAAAAATGATAATAATAATAATAATAAATGCAGTCCTAGAGTTCTATTAACTTCTCTTCCAGTAGGTGGAGCTGTGCCCACTGGGCCAAGCTTCTCCTCTCAATAGGTGGGAACCATTCACTGTGCAGCAGCTCTTTCTCCTAGACTGGGCGGGTCTCCAATCCTGAGTGTCTAGGGCCTTGTCTTGTGTTTCCTCAAGCCAGGCCGTGCTCACCTGTGGCGCTCACCACAATACTGGCTACACGCCAGGTCTGCTGCTCCTGGGAGCCCTGTTTTCATGAACACCTGGGCTCACTCTCCCTGTTTGCCTCCCTCAGACCCTAAGTTTGTAGAGCTTGGGGCTGAGATCCCCCAGCGAATTTGCTTGCCCTCCTGTAGCCACGCCCCCGGTAGCTGGTGCAAGAGACCTCAGTTGTCAGCACTGGTGGGAGCGGTAGCCGGGAGTTCCGCGCCGCGAGTCCTGCGCCATTCCTGGTTCCCTTGGTCTGGTTATTGCGTTCACAGGAGAGCTGGGAGTGGCCCTTAAGGTTTCCCCCGCTGTGTGGAGAGAGATGGCTAGGGGATTACACACCTGTCGCGCTGGTTTCACTGCAGTTATCTCCTCCGCCCATGACGCCATTTCTCTGCCATGGTGATATCCCATGCAAATGGTGACCGTTTGTTCCCTTTGCCGGATGACCAATGCAACGGGTGGGTCCTGACTGTCTCTCCCAATCCCCGTTTCAGTCCTGTGGCCACTGCCTATGAAGGCTCGGTTGGCTTTTACCTCTGTAAGTTCCTAAGGGCCGGCCAATTATTTCAGCGGGATCGTTAGTGCTGAGTCACATGAAGCAGGCAAACCGGAGCTTAATTGCCTCCGATTCGGGCTCTGTGTGTGTGTTCTGAGGGGCCCAGCCTGTACACCCCAGATCCACGTCAGCTCAGCATTGCCTAGTGATCCTGAGCAAACAGCATTTAGACAGTTTACGGCTCCCTATGCCCTCACAGTTGAAGATGTCAGAGACTTGATCTCTCTGCGCCTGCCACCATGTTACATCTCCTCAGTAATATTCATGTTGCCCTTACAGCTTCCTGGTATAAGCAAGTTCTTGGGATTATACAAACTGCTGCTTCTGTTTCCAGTCCAGATTTCTAGAAATGAAACTCTGGGCCGCGCTGACGAGCGTCCGCGCTTGTCTGCGACCGTAGCAGAGTCGCCCTGGCAAGCGTCCGCGCTTGTCTGCGCCCGTAGCAGAGCCGCCCTGGCCTCCGCAGCTCTTCAGCCCGGTGCCAGGCCCCAGGGCCCAAGCGGCTGCCGCCGCGGCTCTCCGTCCCCCTCCTCCGGAGCACGGGTCCCCTGGCAGGGGGGTGCAGAACGACCCCAGAGCAGGCTCTGCCCGAAGGTGCAGCGGCGAACAGGCCACAGAGACGCTCGAGGCTGCAGTCCAGCCTTCAGAGGACAGGGCTCGGCACGCAGCCCAGCTGCAACCTCTAGGTGCGGCTGCCGGACAGTTTATACGGAGCCATCAAGACAGCAAGCAGAAAGCAAATGGCGGCTCCCGCGGAGTGGATTTTCGGCACAGAAACCACAGCCCCGCCAGCAATCCCAATCCACAAACTCTCCCTGTATAAAAAATATTCAAAAAAAAAAAAAAAGGCGGGGCGCACTGAGCTTTCTTTGCCTCGGGTACTTACAATCCACTGCTGATTGCACATTCAGCTTCTCCGCCCGGAGCGAAGCGAAAGCTATATTAATCTTCTTATTAGTTGTCTTCGAGTATCCCTGTAAGTTCAAGTTGCCATTTAGTGTCACTTCACTATTCAATATAGCTTCATCCCCACCCCCATTCTTAATGTTGTTATTGTTATATTACCTTTCTCTGCATTATGGGCCCAACAATAACATTTTATAGATATTATCTCATGCAATGGCTTTTAAAATAAGTTAAGAATGAAAAATGTGATTTATGGATTTAATGATGTCCAGCATTTTCATGAGTCTGTTCATTTTTTTCCAACTGTTTTATTTCTGTGGCTCATGGTCTTTATTGTTCTATTCTCAAATTTGCAAATTCGTTCTTTTCTCAAATCTACTTTTGAAGCTTTCTAGTGAATTTTTCATTTTGATTATTGTACATGCAACTCTAAAATTTCCATTTGGTTCTTTCTATATCATAAATGTATTGTTTTATCTCTTTATTAATGTTCTCTGTTTAATTATTTATTGTTATGCCTTTCTTTAATTTTTTTTGGGGGGTGGGTACCAAGGATTGAACTCAGGGGCACTCGACCACTGAATCACATCCCCTGCCCTATTTTATATTTTATTTAGAGACAGGGTGTCACTGAGTTGCTTAGGGCTTTACTAAATTGCTGAAGCAGGCTTTGGACTCATGATCCTCCTGCCTGGCTCTTTAATTTTTAAAATATGGTCTTCTTTAGTTCTTTGAACATATTTATAAAAGCTGCTTTGAAGTCTTTGCTAAGTCCAACTTTCAGGTCTTCCCAAAGACAATTTCTATTGTTTGCTTATCTTTCATGTGTTTTGGCTATACTTTAAGTGTCTTTGGGTATCTCATAATTTTTCATTGAGAATTGGACATTTTAGATAAATATATCATGATCACTGTGGGTATTGACCCATTCCTTTTCCCTGGGCTTGTTTTTGTTTGTTTGGCTTGTTTATTGACTTAGCAAGACTACTACTGTAAAGTGTATTTCCCTCTTTGTGTAGCCCATGGTGTTTCTGCTCAGATTTATTTGTGTATTTTTATCTTCAGTCTGGATTCCTACAGTCTTGGTCTCCATTAATTAGTCATTGCTCCATTGGTCAAATGTGTGCTTAAGCATACATGCTAAGTGTTCACACAACATTTTTTAATAAATTGGAATTTCTATTTTACACATTTGGAAACTGAGGCTCATTTATTCAGGAAAATGTTGCTCTGAAAGTGATACAACAAAGAAATTGCAGGGCAAGGGCTGGAACTGACCATTGACCTTGTACACTAGACTATTTTCAGGGCTTCGTGTTGTCTTTCCAAGTGCAAATAACTGAAATATACCATTTTTAAATAAGTAAACTAATACCCAGTTGTTGAAATCTGAAGTTATTAACTTGTAATTTTACCGGAAACCACAAGTACAGTATGCATATCCACTCCATCATGCATCTGAGCATTAATTACCAACTCTGAATTATTAGGATGCTGTGAAACTTCATCCAGCTCTAGCCTCTGTGGTATCTCTGGACTACATTTCCTCACCTGACATGATGTTTCCATATCAGTACCTGTGTGACTTCTTGAGCCCTTTTCAGTTCAAACCAAAGGGTTTTATGGGAGTTTGACAGGATGTCTTGTCTCTGCACAGACCAATTCTCCTTTGTGTCATACTCTTTCTTTCGGGAATCACCCAAGACTAAATTCCATTCCACCCTTAGTCGGCAAGATGAATAGGTTTACAATGTGTCTGATCATGATAGCTCTGTGTTTTCTTCAGATATAATTCCAGTCTGAAAAACCTGTCCACCCTCCAGCTGATGGGGAGTTACATGGAAATGAAGAACTATGTCACCATGATCACTGGGATCCTGAGTCGTTTGGTTAAGGAGAACAGAAATGCATCCTGTGGTCAATGGTCACAAATACAGGATGCATTGATTTCTTCTGTGTGCAAATTAGCTTTTGCAGATCAGGTATGGCCTAGAGCATGGTGAGGGCAGGGTCTGTAAACTTGTGTCAGGTAGTGGGTTCATGGCTGTTTGACTCCCAGGAAGTAGTCATACTGATGAAACACAAGCAAGAAAGGTGACCAGATAGGCAGCCAGCTTGGCTCCCATACATGGGTTTGGTCTCTCTTGCCTTCTGACATGTCTTATAAATGAACACTGCAAGTCAATCATAATAATAGATAATTCCTCTAGTGTAAGTTAAAATTCTGTAAATCCAATCTGATTTTATCTTGTTGACTATAATATCCTTGATAGTCATTATTTTATGCAACTTCTTATGAAATGATGATATAATCAAAGGTTACCATCTTTGTTCACATTTCTGCACCTCTGTCTTATAATGGGCACTAGAGATCATTCACATCTACAAAAAAAAATCTTGTTTCATTGTAAGATTATTCACTTGAACTACTGTTTTTCTTCCTTTATCATTCTCTCTGAACTTTTCTCAAAGTTTCAATTAGTTCTGTCCCTTAATTTCCTTCTCTTTCATGTCAGTTTCTTGATGGGATATGTGAGACTGGCCAGAGGTACATAGGAAGAGGCATGTTAGACCGAAAAGAAAACTCAAACCGGGGTCCTGGTCTTACTGGAGAAGGGCTGGCTCCAAGTCATCTCTTAGTTGAAAGCATAAATTCTGCTCTACTTTTACATAAGCAGGCTGGAACTGAACTAATACACTAATTTCTTCTTTGTTTGTTTGTTGTTTATTTGATTTTGCTGCAGGAAGAAATAATTCATTCTGTTCTTATGTTGAGAAATCTTATAAGCTTCTCTAATAAGGTAAGTGCTATTTCTTTCAATGTTTTATTTTCCTGTTTTTTTTTTTTGCATAATTATGAGGCCATGATCATTTTTTTTAATGTTTTGGTACTGGAGATTGAACCCAGGAATGCTGTACTGCTCAGATACATCCCCAACTTTTATTTTTTAGTTTGAGTGACCACAAACTTGCAATCCTCCTGCCTCAGCCTTCTGAGCCTCTGATATTGCCAGCCTGTGCCATGTTGCCCCGCCATTATCAGTTCTTGAAAAATATTCTGTTTAGAGTTATATTTTGACACTTAGATTAGAAACATGACTTTCTCCTAAGAATTCATGTGAATGGGATTGTGCATCTCCAATCATAGCTGAATAATTTCTTTATTTCTATAGAAATTTGGAAACCCAAAGTAGAAATGATTAAACATAAGAGCTATCGATGCTAGGAATCATTTGGTGAAAGAGACATTATTTATTATTAATGCATGTTTTGGATTTTCCTATCTCCCTGCATTCTTTTTTTTTTCTTCTTCAAATCTCTGATGCTCTGCTGTGCCCCCTTCAACAGATGTTCTAATTCTGCCACACTTTAGAGAGCCCATGGGAGTCTCTCATTGCCACCAGTCTGCAAGATGGGTGAAACCACACCCACCTCCCACACTCAGTCACCATAGCAATGATTCCCTACTTCCAGCAAGCATCCGTCCCTCATTTTATGTTCAGAACCCCATTCAGGACCACCTCATAGTGCCTTATTTCAGCCTGGATGACAAATGCTTCTTATGGTCAAGCTGAGTGCCTACTGCTGGTGGTCCAGTCTGAGTGCCTACTGCTGGTGGTCCTGCCTCCCTCCCATTTTGCATTTTTGGGATTTTTCACCTTGGGTTAAGCTTTCCCTTTGTGGCTTTTTTCCATTTCTCCCTCTGCCAAATGATACCCAACATGCTTAATAATCTTTTTTTTTTTTTAAATCACTGTCTTCTATCTGGTCCTCATTTCTATGCACCTCCTTATAGCACAGCATTCAGAAAGTGAGTTCTGAGCTTGCTATGGCCTATACTAGCTGTCAGTCCTGCATTTTTAAACTGTCAAATTTGAGCTTCCATCTTCTTATCAACACTTTAGTGCTTTCATCAAAGTCACTGGGGATCCTCTCGCTGCCAAGTTCACTAGACACTTCTCCTCACCATCCTCTCCCTCAGAGGACATTCTGTGGGGGTCTTGCCTTTCATTGGGACTCACTTCTCTTGGTTTCATGACACACGTTTTCTTGATTGGCCACAATTGCCACCAGTCTGCAAGATGGGTGAAATCACACCCACCTCCCACACTCAGTCACCATAGCAATGATTCCCTACCTCCAGCAAGCATCCATCCCTCGTTTTATGTTTAGAACATAGTAGGATGACCCTATCCCCTTCCCTACCCATCCATGTTGATGTGGTCAGTGGTTCAGGGTTCTGGCTCAGGACTACTAGACTTCTCTGTCCACATCTTCTGTCTGGGTGCTCTCATCTAGTCCTTTAACCCTAGATGGAGATGATAATTACTCCACATCTTATGTCTTCTACCCACACTTTCTCAAGTGCTCCAGTCCCATGCATATAACTACCCACCTCACATTTCCATGAAGGAAAACACTGTGCTCATGCCCAACATGACAAGGTGGAGCTCCCCTGATCCACTCCTCACCTCACCCTCCCCAGCTCTGGACAAGGTAGCACTATACACCTGAACTGCTGTGAAAACCCCAGTGTCACCTCAGTATCCTCCCTTTTCCTCATCCAATAACTTACAATTGAGTCTTGTTAGTTCCTCTTCAAAAACATAGCCAGACTCTTCCTGCCTCTTCCATCTCTACTGCCCACCTCTCTAACCTAAGGTCAGAGCCTGTTTCCCCCAGGCTAAGCATCTCTCTCACTGTTCTCTCTGCCTCCTCTCTTGCCACCTTATAACGCATGTCATAGAGCAGCCAGAGAATCATTGTGCAAGCCTGACCCAGTTGATGCCACTCTCCTGCTGAACACTCTTCCAAGGCTTCTCATAGCACGTTGGCTCCTCCTTACCTGTCACTTCTCCTCTCATGTTCTTTCTGTTCTCCCACGATCCTGGAGACTTGTTCTGGCTCAGAGTCAGGATGGTAATCCCTCTTACTGCCATGCCGACTCCTTTGTTCATCAAATAGCTGAAACCTTTCCTTTGACTCTCAGCTCAAATATAACTTCCTCAAGAGGGTCATCCTTCACCTTCTTTTCTTGTTACTTGGGTTATCTCCTTCAGTATTTTTACAGTCAACATCCATCTCACTTCTTTATTACCCCTCTTTCCTCACTGGAAAACTTCCATTGTAAACTCCACAATGGCAGGAACACAGTTGTGAAATGAATAAATAAATAAGTCATAGTAGGATGGCCCTATCCCCTTCCCTACCCCTCTTGCTCATCTCATCCTCCTCATCTTAAATTGCTCTACTACAAGCATCACCATTCTGGGAAGGAAGGCTGGGTTCCCTTGGCAAAGACCCTCCTCTCTTCTGACAGGCTGTCTTCCTAAGGCATATCTGGCCTATCTCCTGTTTACTGTAAAATAGATGGTTCCTGGTCCTCTGAGGATAAAATTTAATCCTTCTGCATATCGTTTAAGTACTCTACCTGGTTTCAGCTCACTCTGCACCTCATATTCAATATCTCCTGATGTAACCACCTTTCACCTTCAATCTCTCTTGATTTTCCTAATGTCCTTGAAATAATAAGTTTTTTCTTAACACAGAAAATGTTATTTCCTATCCTGGGAAATTATTACTTTCTCTTGAAGGCTAGATTCAAATGCCACAATCTCCACGAAATCTTCAGAGCTCCAAAAGCAGGTTTCATTTTATTCTAATAAATTTTGCACATGACTTTATTATAGCACTGTAACACTTGATTTGTAATATTTATTTATTTATTTTGGTACATCTGTCTTCTGACTTGACTAAGCCTCCTAAGACACAAACTGAATTAGTTGAAGTAATGTCAGCTGCTATAACAAATAACCCTGACATCTCAGTAACAGAATACATAGAAGTTTATTCACTCACACATGTTCAGTGTTCAATAGGTATTCAGTACGGGTCTTTCCCATGAGGACTCAGTGGCTCCAGCTCTTTTCCTCTTGTGCTCCAAATATCCCAATATTTCCCCAGTCAAGGAAATAGAAAGTGGAGAAGGTCTACCATTTGTGGATAATGATGTCCTGGAAGTGGGAATGCCTCATTCCATTCACATTCTTTTGGTGAGCAATGGTCACACAGCCTCACCTGAACTCCAGGAACCTGGGACATGGAATTACTGTCCAGCTATGACCCTGCACAGAGCTCACAAGGATGAATCTGGTGGAGATCAAACCACCTCTGCCACAATCCCTCTCTCTTATGTCTCTGAACACTACAGTCTGTTGCAAGCAGTTTTGGGCTTTAAGTGATAAATAAAATTGAACATGATTGACATTTCTAAAGTAACTATTTCTGAAATTTTTGGTTTAAAAGTGGGAAGTGTGAAATTGGGCATAATACGTTCTCTGAGGCATTTTTTGAATTTCTGATGAAAGATGATTTATATTTTAAGTCCTATTTTGATGGTAAGTAACCTTTTGGGTGAGGCCCTTATTAAGTAGTTTAAATATACTTCCAAACTACTTTAATTTTATTGTTGTTAGGAGAATTTGATTTTAAAAGGTATTTTTAAGCTGCATTTTAGTTAAATAAGTATGACTATAAAAAAATAGAATGGTAATTTCATATCATTGTACACACATTTGTTTATCAACTTCTGGGAGCTGCTAAGGAACAAAAAAGAAAAGATATAGTCCTTATCTTTTAGGCATTAATGAACGAAATTAAACGTGGAAACATATACTTCAATAAATATGCTGAGTCCCATGCATAAGATAACCACAGAATTCTGCAGAAATAGGTAACGGTGAAGCTAACTCCAGTACACATTTAGAGTTGGTTTCAAAATATAAGTAGGAAAAACTCAGAACTTTTTTAGATGTAAAAATGGCATTGTGAACCAGCTTTTAGAGAGTTCTTACCTATCAGCAAAACATGTTAAAGTATTCATGAGTAAACATATGTGAGATTTACTTTTAAATATTTGTAAAAAAAAAAAAAAACTGAGTAAGGAATAAAAGAAAAAATATTGCCAGTGAAGGATAATTTTTGAAGGTGGGTGACAGGTGACTGTATGACTCTACTATTCATTCTCTCAACCTTTGTGTATATTTGAAAATGGTCCATAGTCACAGTTTAGAAAGAGAGAGACAGAAAAGTGGGATTTTGCTGGGTAACAAGAGGTTAAAAGTATTGCAGATAGGAGGACTTATATATTTCATAAGGTGCTAGGAGAAAGCCTTCATTATTTGGGAGAAATTAAGAGTTTAGCATGACTCAACATAGAACATATGTGGGTGATAGGAAAAGAGAAGAGGTTGGGACCATTTTGTGAAAGGATTTGTGAGCGAATTTTAGGGTTCAACCTAAGTAACATTTTAAAGCATAAAGGTCTGTAAAGAACAATTTGATTTCCTTGGTCATTTTGTGTGTGAAAAACTGAATGACAGAGAACAAACTGTTATTAAGGAAGCTGACCAGTAGAGATGAAATGTGAACTTAATTCAGTTCTTCTGACCCCAAGTTCAATAATTTTAATTCTCGATAATAATGAAAGAGGCAGAAGCATATGTATCGTATGCTTGGAAAGATTTTATTTACATCTCTTCTTTCCATGAAGTTAAGCTTTTTGAGTGCAATGCACATTCTCAAGTACACGCGGTCACTCCTTGCTCAAGGACAGCTCTTGGGAAGGTTTGTGGTTGACAGACAACTCAGGCTAGAACTTATCCTTCTCATCTCTGGAGTCTGGGAAGCCTCTGCACAGGAAAAATTTAGAAATGAGAACTATCTACAAGAAGAAGGAATGAAGATTATCTCAGATGTATTACTGGTAAGTTAGATTTATTTTTCCTCCACTCATCTGCTGTCATATATAACAAATTAGAATAAATTAAAAAAAAGAAAGAATGCTAAGAGAAACATAATGGGTTGGTATGTTATCAGTAGAAGAATTTAATTATTTAGAAATTAAAAATGCAAATGTTTTAATTTAACAATAAAACATTTTATAATGTCAAAACCAAACAACAATAGAAACAGCTTCTGGGCTGAGAATGTAGCTCACTGGTAGGGCACCAACAAACAACAACAGTGAAGCAGCTGTTCCTCTCTCCTAGATTTAACCTGCATTTGTAATTGCTTCTCACAATTGAAAGTAGAATCATTTTCTGAAGAATTGTGATTACAATTCTAGGTGGTAGATTGATATTTGGAAAATTTTTTTTAAAGGCGATGATTGCATTTTTTTAACCTTTATTTATTTATTTTTTTGTGGTACTGAGGATCAAATCCATTGCCTCGAAATGCTAGGCAAGCGCTCTACCGCTGAGCCACAATACCAGTCCAAATTTTTTATTTTGAATTTTAAGAGTTTTGTGGTACTTCTGTAATGTTCCCAATGTTTGATAATTTACATTTGGAATACTTGGAAAGATTTTGGACTTAGAAACATCATTCCTTGGGGTACCTTCAATTTTTTTGAGGAATGATATGAAGTAATGCAAACAATTATATGCATTAACTTAAAAAGTAGCCCTGCTGATCTATAACTGCTTTTAAAAATTCCACAGTTCATTTCACTTATTTCTGCCTCAGGAGCTTTGGAAAATTATAAAAGACAGTTTGTTTCATCTTATGAAATGGCCAGTGCTTTCAGGAAGGAGTGAGTTAGTGAATGGGGCTTTGGTCTCTCTTCTCCTACAATCTATCATCCCTGTCACCCAGGTCTCCTTGTTTATGTAATTGGTAACTGCTGGAATTACTTGGGAAATTATACAGTAAATAAATACTCTACTTGAATCTGCTAATAATTGTCATTACACATTAGCATGCTGTGTCACAGCTTTTTATCACTGTGACCAAAATACCTGGCAAGAACAACGTAAGGGAGGAAAAGTTTATTTGGGGCTTATGTTTCAGAGGTTTAGTCCCTGGCCATCTGACTCTATTGCTTTGGACCTGAGTGAGGCAGAACATCATGCGGAAGGGCATGGCAGAGGAAAGCTGCTCAGCTCATAGCAGCAGAGAAGCAGAAAGAGAGTCAGGAACAAAATATACTCTGAGGTCATATCCCCAGTGGCCCATTTCCTCCAGCCTCATCCCACCTGCCTACAGTTTCCACCCAGTAGTTCATTCAAATTATTAATCCAGTTGATGTATTAATCAACTGATATGATTACAGCTCTCATAATCCAATCTTCACTGGATTATTGCTATGTCGTATAACACATGAGCTCTTTGGGGAACACTTGTAGATCCAAACCACAACACATATTTAAAAATGGGTAATAAGTCCTAGGGCCCTATGGTTAGGTTAACTATCAAGTCTCCAGGTTTTAAAAATGATCATGTATAGCTGGGTGCAGTGGCACATGCCTGTAATCCCAGTAACTCGGGAGGCTGAGACAGTAAGATTGCAAGTTCAAACCTAACCTCAGCAACTTAGTGAAGCCCTAAGCAACTCAGTGAGACACTCTCTCTAATAAAATATGAAAAAGATCTGGGATATGATTCAGTGGTTAAGCACCCCTGGATTCAATCCCTGGTACCAAAAAAAAAAAAAAATGAGCATGGTATTAAAACATTTTTGATGGGCTAGGATCCTCTAAGAGCACAGAAATCATTTAAAGAATGAATAAAATTCACAAAAAGATTTGCTTAAACAAAAGAAATCAGTTTGTCTTTTATTATTTGCCATTTTAATTCTTGAGCAAATATTTGCTCAGGCAAATGAACCCAATCTACCTTTAGACAGGTTATCCTGGAATGACTTTTCACCTCTCCCTGGTCTGCATTCAGGTCAGTTTGCTTATTTGCATGCAAGTGTGTGACTCTCTGTGTTTCAGGGCTGTCTTTCCTTGAGCCATCAGAATCATCTCATTGTGAATGCTGGGCAGATGGAGTTCCAGACCCTTCTTCATCACAACCTTCGGCGCTCCATCCAGAACCTGGGCTCTGTCCAGGTGTACTTACCTGGTGACCTGACAGGGCACAGTTCTGCTCAAGAGGGAATGCAGAGCCTGTGCTACATAAGCCAGCTCATGTTCTTCAAGAAAAGCCCTTATCCAGAAGCAGGAGCACCTGGGAAGGTACAGGACAGAGGCAAACTGCCATTGTTAATGGTCATTGTAAATTTTCAGTGATGGCTTCCATAGTAAAGAGACTCGATGAGCACATTTGCACCTGTTTAGTTCCTAAAGCGGATACCTAGAACATGTTGTTGACTCTACTCCTCTTGGAAGAACAGTTTCTTGAGAAAAAATCTTAGCAAAACTTGGTGTTCCTGATAGCTGGGTAATTGGACCCATTCAGAATTCCCTGTGAGGTTTTAAATCTATTGTCAGAGAATACGAGATTCCAGTAGGTTAGAACATGTAGTACAGTGATTATGAGTTGGACAGGGTTGCTTGTTCCTAAAATCAAATGCACATTTCCACTAGAATGAAATCTGAGGAGGGGCTGCCCAGGGTCTATCAGAACTTTCTTTTCTTTTTCTCTCACCTGAGAGGCACGTCTGGCCTAAACCCAATTAAGATAGGGAAGTCAGGAGGATTGTTCCAGCCACCTGGAAATTTTGTGAATATTCACATCAACTTCTGCATTTAGAAACCCAGTGAGTTCTCCTGAAAGAGAGATAATGTTCACTGTGTTCTCTCTGTTCTCAGCCTCCTGACCCTGCTCCAATACTTGGCTCATTTGAGCATCCAGTGAAATCTAATGAATGAATGTACTAATTATGATGTGTGTCTTATTTTCATTAAAAAATCCTTTTTTTAAAGCATTTGTTTCTTTTTTTAGGGAACTGTAAATAGCTAATCAGCATGTGAAAATAATTCATACTAGCAAGAAATAAAGAAATAGCAATTAAAATGATGTTTTAACTTACAAAAATGCAATTATCTAAAAATACTACTTGTGGAAATGTCATGGGAGAACTAAGATGTTGGTTGGTATAAGCTTTGTGAAAGTGCTAGGCACCAGGAGTTTCAAAATACCCAGACCCTGTTAACAGTTGTAGAAATTCACACCAAGGAAATAAGGAAAGATTTCAAAGCAAGATGGGGTTTTTTTTGTTTGTTTGTTTATTCAAAACATTATTTATGATGACCCAAAAAGACAGGTACCTAACTGTTCACTGGTCATTTAAGTGAATTGTAATTTATAAATAACTAATTAAAATTATGTCCATAAGGGAATTTTATGAACTTTAGATTTCATGCAAAAAATATGGAAGACTGAATTTCTTTTTTCTGCCCAGTGCATACTCCATGCATGGAAAAGGTTTGAAATGCATCACCCCCAAAGTTACCTTCTCTGAGCAATGGGCAATCTGTTCTTCACTCTTTTAAATCCCTCTGTGCCTTTCTGATTATCTCTAGTAAGCAGATATGTCTTTTTTGTATGAACACTTCAAAAATTAAAAATACTTTAAAACAAATAATTTTAATAAGGGTAACATAAATGAAGCATTAAGCTCATCCCCAATCCTGCCATTCTAACTGGTAAAACTAGTTTGGGTTTCTATATGATTCTCTAATATCTGGCACATAATTTTGCAGTACTGTGATGGTACCATCACTATACCTTGGTTTCCTTCTTTTCTTGTTTGAGTCAACTCTGGGCTTTGTTTTCTGAGATGGTCTTTGCTTCCTAAGGTTGGCGAAGTCGTGGGGCTCACCCTCTACAGCTGCTCCAGCAGGAGACCCATCCACAGAGGACGGCTAAACACACCTGTAACTGTGGAGTTTGGGGAGGAAGACAGTTCAGTAAGGAGAGCCTTGCCCCATGCCTGCTTCAGTTAGACTGTGCAGGCTAGTTTTTCATGCACTCACTTTTCCACGTACAACTTTCATTTAATTTGTTTTCTTCTCAATGACAGGATAATAAGAGAAATAAAACAAAGTTTATATTGCTTCGGGAAAAGGTGAATTTCCATCAGTTCACTGGGATATCCCAAAAACCCCAGGAGTCTCTACAGATACGAATCGAGTTTTCTAAGCCCATTACCAGAGCGTTTCCTGTCATGCTGCTAGTAAGGTGTGTTGAGGGTGACTGCAACAGTGACCATGAGATCATGGCAAGACACACTGACCTTAAGAATGTTTTGTGAATTTGCAGGGAAATGGATGGCACTAGAGCAGATTATGCTTAGTGAAGCTAGCCAATCCCTAAAAAACAAATACCAAATGTTTTCTTTGATATAATGAGAGCAACTAAGAACAGAGCAGGGAGGAAGAGCAGGAAGAAAAGATTAACATTAAACAGAGACATGAGGTGGGAGGGAAAGGGAGAGAAAAGGGAAATTGCATGGTAATGGAGGGAGACCCTCATTGTTATACAAAATTACATATAAGAGGTTGTGAGGGGAATGGGAAAATAAACAAGGAGAGAAATGAATTACAGTAGATGGGGTAGAGAGAGAAGATGGGAGGGGAGGGGAGGGGGGATAGATGAGGATAGGAAAGGTAGCAGAATACAACAGTTACTAATAGGGCATTATGTAAAAATGTGGATGTGTAACCGATGTGATTCTGCAATCTGTATTTGGGGTAAAATTGGGAGTTCATAACCAACTTGAATCTAATGCATGAAATATGATATGTCAAGAGCTTTGTAATGTTTTGAACAACCAATAAAAAAAATCAGAAAGATAAAAAAAAAACACATTAAATTAGATTAAAAAACACATTTATGAGGATCTTGTTACATCCTAGGTTCTTGGATAAATGCTCACATTTCAAGTAAAATGGACATTTTCACTTTTAAGATATTCTTTTTAATCAAGTGAGAAAATCAACAAAATGTCAGTAATCATTTTAGAATCTCTAAATGTATGTATTTATGCATTTATATAACTTTTGCTGTTATATATTATATTTAGTCATATTGCTTATTAATGCAAAAAGAAAATTAAAAAAAAAAAAGAATGTTTTGTGAAAGTGAATTAAAATGTTTTCAAAGCAATGAAGAGGCTCATTGTCTAAAGAAATTATTTTACTATTTAGACAATAAGCTTCCACATTTTATTTTCCAGGTTACCTTCCTGCCTACTAATTGGTGTGAGAGGAGATATGGGCCAGAATTCTACGTTCAACTCTTTGTTGTTTTCCTTCCTTCCTTCTTCTTTCCTTCTCTTCCTTTCTTTCTTTTTCCTGCTCCTCTTCTTCCTCCTCTTCCTTCTCCCCTCCTCCTCCTCCTCCTCCTCCTCCTTCTTCCTTTCTCTCAATAAGGAGAAAATGTCCTCATATATATATATATATATATAGATATATCTAAGGAGACTTCATAGATTATCTTTCTTAGTAATATTTAGTCTGTGAAATTGGATGGACATTTTAATCACTAAATTGCATAAGAAGGATAAATAAATGAACATTAAAACATTCTTTGGAATCTTACTTTGAAATTGCTAATGGAAGCCTTGAGTTTGTGGGGTGATGCTATTCCACTGTACCTGTTGATTGAGAGAGTAGCTTGACTGAACCAAAGGGGACTCTCAAGCAAGGGCTGTCTCTTAGGCAGACACTGCCTGCTAGCCCTGGCACAGTGCCATCCTGCCCACTGACTTAACCCTCATTCTGCCAAATGAGCTAAGCCATCAAATGTCTGAAATTGTCTATTTCCTCAAAGAGTTCAAGTTTTAACTTCTTCAACACACAGAAGAAGTAAATTTTCAGTTCCTAGAAAATTCTTAGTCTGACCACTTTGTGCTTATTATCCTTTATCTGCCAGTTTCCAGCTCTGCCAACAGGTGCAGTGGAGCATTAAGACAGCTGTGTATGTGCTGCAGAGCCCTCCTAACATGGAGCCAGCACTGTATGTTTTATTCCTATATACTGTGCTGGTTATTCTTGTTTTTCTCTTTTACTGAAGTTTTTTGGTTTTGTGTTCTATTTTTTTTTAATGAAATGAAGGATGAAAGTGTCATCCATTTATTAAAAGGCCAACTGGTGCCATGGGATTAGCACATCAGATCGTTTTAGTCCATGCTACTTCTTGTGGCAAGAAGGTTGTTTTTCACAAATTATGTGACTAAAGAGTTGAAAGAGGAAAAAAAAAACTAGACTTCACTACTTCATTTCTATTTTCTAGATTCTCCAAGAAACCTACTCCCTCTGATTTTCTTGTGAAACGAATCTACTACTGGGATGAGCAAATTGTCCAAATTTACATACCTGCTGTTCCACAGAAAGGTCAGTGGACAAGATGCTTTTTAATTTTCAATTCTCTTCAGGTGGTGAGAACACAGGCTACAACCTGAGTTTGCAGAGCATTGTTTTTCTTTCTCATAACATAAACATCCTCATGACACAACCATCCAAGTCATCTCTTTGCCTGCTAATAAATAAACCATGTACCATAACCAAGTACAGTCCTTGACACTGGGGGACACATGCATTGTTCACAGGACCCTGCCCACCTTTCCACTTCTCCCTGCCTCAAGCTATGACTCCTCCTTCTTCTCAGGGTCCTGGGTTTGTTTCACTGGTAGCTGTCTGCAGTTCCTTCCATTTTCTTTCCTTGGACTCCCCTCCATGGAGCTGCTTTGACCCTAGCAGTTCATTATCCTCCTTTGCCCAAATGCCTTGACTTTGCTTTCTAGTCTGCTGCCCCTTGCGTCCCAGCTAGACATCAGGGACCATGACTTCAGAGGTGAGGCTTCTCCGTATGTCACATAAAAGCAGAGAGCAGGCCCTCTCTGATGATCCTTGCAGAATATTGATCTTGGGGCTCACCCCTTCACAGCAATCTGACTCGTTGCTCAGAATCCTGAGCTCCAGTGTCTTCCCCTGAAGATCAAGAAACTGGAGCTCTATGTGCTTAAGTGGACCACACAGGACTAATAGACACATACTCTAGACCCATGTCCAGCATGCCATGTGGACCTTGAAGGAGAAGTTGGCTTCTGACTCTCAGGTGAATGGGTGAATCCTTTCATCTCTAAATTTTTCCATACTGAGATATAGTTAATTTCCTCTGAGACCCAGTCACTTCACTTCTCTTTTGAAATGAATTGTATTGCTAATCAGATTCAAATTAAATAAGCCAAACTCAGAAAGTCAAAGGTTGAAAGTTTTCTCTTAGATGGAGAAGCTAGAGAGAAGTCAGGAATTAAAAAGAGAGAGGTGGTCCCATGAAAATGGAAGGGAGAACAGTGGAAGAGAGGGAGGGGATCCAGGAGGAGGGAGAAGGGAAGAAGGATGGGAAAGGGAAGAAACTTCAGGATGAAATTTTTTAAATTGTGCAGTGTGCATGCATGAATATATCACAATGAATGCCACATTTATGCACCAATTTAAAAAATAAATAAATAGAAGGAAGACCAATAAAGTAGAGTAAGGAAAGCAGTGGAGGGGGAAAAAGAAGTACTGGAAATTGAAAGGAAGCAAATAATGACACACACATGTTTGAATATGTCAAAATGAACCCCACTGCTATTAACTATAAAGTATGAATAAAAACTTTTAAATTCTGAATTTTTAAACTTCATGGCAATTTTTAAAATTTTACATTTCACATTTCTTTTCTACAGTATTTTTTTTGTAAAAAAAATTTCAAACTGACAAAAAAGTTTTAAAAAGTAAAACAAACACCTATATTATTCCATCTGGATTTACCACCCAGCTCACATTTTGCTACACAGAATTTATCCTGGTGTATGACTGAATGTGCATGAATGTGTGGGGGTGTGCATGCTTGTGTGCTTTTGGGTGAGCTCTTAGGAGGAGAGAGAGGAGGAGGGGGAGGAGGAGGGAGAGGAGGAGGATCCAGGGGAAAGAAAATTTCAGACTCATGACATTCCACTTTGAAATACTTTGACAGACATCTCATTAAAAAAAGGGGCTCTCCTACTGAACTCAGTACCATTATAACCCCAAACAATCAACATTAACTTAATATCTACCCTGTAGCCCCTAGTTAAAATTTTGAAATTTTCCCCAATGTCTTTAAACCTTTATATTTCTTATTCAGAATTAAGTCAGACTTCATGAGTGCATTTCATTGCCATATTTTCATAGTCCCTTTAAAATCTAGAACACTTCCCCCATTTTTAAAAATAACAATGACTTTTTAAATTATTCCAGCTCAGTCATTTCTTTTGGTGTCTCACATTCTAAAATTGTATGATATTTTATGATTAAATTCAGTTTGTAGGTGTTTGGCACATACTCATCAGGTGATGCCCAGCATGGTGGTTAGCTTGAGGAGAGCCCCTCCAGTCTAACAGGCCACTTTTCCCTGCATAGTCGTGTAAGGTAAAGCTCCTGAGCCAGCTGAGTGTTCTCTTGCCTGCAGCCTCTCACCCCATGGTTTTAAGTTAGCACTGGTGATATACATTGGTCCACAGAATGATGACTTTCTAGCTCCACCATAAATCATGTGGCATTCTTCAGTAAAGGAGCACTTCTCTCTCCCTCACCCTTGCTCTTTTGTCTCTTGGTGCATAGAGTGTCTCAAAAATGTGTTCTGTTCATTTCCATCATTTTTCTTTCTGATGCTCAACTTGGTCAAAGAGAGTTCCTTCATAATACTTCTTGAATTTTTTTGACAGGGTAAACCTTCGAGTGCTTGCTTGCTTCCTGGGGTGCAGGATGCCCTGCCTTGTCATGCACTTGACCTGCCCTTCCTTGGAATCAGCTCTTTGTCGTGGGGACATTTAGAATTCCAGACCTGGGCACCAAATGTGCTCATTACTATCAGGGTGTCATTGATTTAATAACTGTGTGTGTGTGTGTGTGTGAGAGAGAGAGAGAGAGATGAGCTCATGCTAATGTCTTCAATTCAAATCCAACATCCTGGGTTCCTTCTTACTTTCTCCCATTGCACCTTTTTATCCCCATTTTCAAAGATATCTCTAGTATTGCCCAAAAAGCACAGTCAAAATTATTCATATTAATTATTTTCTCTGAGTTTTTTTTTTAATTTTTTATTGTGGGTTGTTCAAAACATTACAAATTTCTTGACATATCATATTCCACACTTTGATTCAAGTGGGTTATGAACTCCCACCTTCACCCCATACACAGATTGCAGAATCACATCAGTTACACATCCATTGATTTACAAATTGCCATACTAGTGTCTGTTGTGCTCCGCTGCCTTTCCCATCCTCCACCCTCCCCCCTCCCCACCTCTCCCCTCCCCTCCCCTCCTCTCTCTCTACCTCCTCCACTGTATAACCCTGAGGGTCTCCTTCCATTAGCATGCAATTTCCCTCCTCTCTCCCTTTCCCTCCCACCTCTCATCCCTGTTAAATGTTAATCTTCTTCTCCTGCTCTTCGTCCCTACTCTGATCTTAGTTACTCTCCTTATATCAAAGAAGACATTTGGCATTTGTTTTTTAGGGATTGGCTAGCTTCACTTAGCATAATCTGCTCTAATGCCATCCATTTCCCTGCAAATTCTATGATTTTGTCATTTTTTAATGCAGAGTAATACTCCATTGTGTATAAATGCCACATTTTTTTTATCCATTCGTCTATTGAAAGGCATCTAGGTTGGTTCCACAGTATTGCTATTGTGAACTGTGCTGCTATGAACATCGATGTAGCAGTGTCCCTGTAGCATGCTCTTTTTAGGTCTTTAGGGAATAGACCAAGAAGAGGAATAGCTGGGTCAAATGGTGGCTCCATTCCCGGCTTTCCAAGAAATCTCCATACTGCTTTCCAAATTGGCTGCACCAATCTGCAGTCCCACCAGCAATGTACAAGTGTACCCTTTTCCCCACATCCTCGCCAGCACTTGTTGTTTGACTTCCTAATGGCTGCCAATCTTACTGGAGTGAGATGGTATCTTAGGGTGGTTTTGATTTGCATTTCTCTGACAGCTAGAGATGTTGAGCATTTTTTCATGTACTTGTTGATTGACTGTATGTCCTCCTCTGAGAAGTGTCTGTTCAGGTCCTTGGCCCATTTGTTGATTGGGTTGTTTGTTCTCTTATTGTCTAATTTTTTGAGTTCTTTGTATACTCTGGATATTAGGGCTCTATCTGAAGTGTGAGGAGTAAAGATTTGTTCCCAGGGTGTAGGCTCCCTATTTACCTCTCTTATTGTTTCTTTTGCTGAGAAAAAACTTTTTAGTTTGAGTAAGTCCCATTTGTTGATTCTAATTATTAACTTTTGTGCTATGGGTGTCCTATTGAGGAATTTGGAGCCCGACCCCACCGACTGTAGATCGTAGCCAACTTTTTCTTCTATCAGACGGCGCGTCTCTGATTTGATATCAAGCTCCTTGATCCATTTTGAATTCACTTTTGTGCATGGCGAGAGAAAGGGATTCAGTTTCATTTTGTTCCATATGGATTTCCAGTTTTCCCAGCACCATTTGTTGAAGATGCTATCCTTCCTCCATTGCATGCTTTTAGCCCCTTTATCAAATATAAGATAGTTGTAGTTTTGTGGATTGGTTTCTGTGTCCTCTATTCTGTACCATTGGTCCAACCGCCTGTTTTGGTACCAGTACCATGCTGTTTTTGTTACTATTGCTCTGTAGTATAGTTTGAAGTCTGGTATCGCTATACCGCCTGATTCACACTTCTTGCTTAGCATTGTTTTTGCTATTCTGGGTCTTTTATTTTTCCATATGAATTTCATGATTGCTTTCTCTATTTCTACAAGAAATGCCGTTGGGATTTTGATTGGCATTGCATTAAACCTATAGAGAACTTTTGGTAATATCGCCATTTTGATGATGTTAGTTCTGCCTGTCCATGAACAGGGTATATTTTTCCATCTTCTAAGATCTTCTTCTATTTCTCTCTTTAGGGTTCTGTAGTTTTCATTGTATAAGTCTTTCACCTCTTTTGTTAGGTTGATTCCCAAGTATTTTATTTTTTTTGAAGATATTGTGAATGGAGTGGTTGTCCTCATTTCCATTTCAGAGGATTTGTCGCTGATATACAGGAATGCCTTTGATTTATGCGTGTTGATTTTATATCCTGCCACTTTGCTGAATTCATTTATTAGCTCTAATAATTTCTTTGTAGAGCCTTTTGGGTCTGGTAGGTATAGAATCATATCATCTGCAAATAGTGATAATTTAAGTTCTTCTTTTCCTATTTTGATGCCTTTAATTTCTTTCGTCTGTCTAATTGCTCTGGCCAGTGTTTCGAGAACTATGTTGAAGAGAAGTGGAGAGAGAGGGCATCCCTGTCTTGTTCCAGATTTTAGAGGGAATGCCTTCAGTTTTTCTC